AGAAAGTTGAATGAGATAAGTGGTCGAACTAATTAATTTAACGAATGAAATAAATGCATTGATAGTAAAGAAATGATAATGATAAGTCTCATTGCATTTTCGCATCTGATATTATTAGCAGTGATAGCAAACGATGGTATTTATGCTTTTGTTGTATTATATTTAAATTATTAAATTCAAACTATCAATGAATTCTATAATTAATTAATTATCCTAGAATAATTTGTTTTTCTTTCTTTTTTGAAAATGTTTTTAGATTTCCTAATTAAAAAATGATAAATTTTCGTACCATTGTTATCAGATTATCTACTATCAGATAAGCTATAAATAATAAATCATAATAAAGATGATTCAATAACAGGTTTTTATTATAAATTTAATTCCACTAATTGTATTTCATTCCTCTTTTCTCATACAACAAAAAACTAATTTTGTTACCAATCTTTGTTTACATTCATCCAAATTTTTCCGCCGATTTTCGGGTTGTCAGCTCAGTTCTGTATATAAACTAATCAACCTTACCTATTAACTATTGTTCATTCTACGTATTTGGGTGGTTTTTTAGGGGTATTTTAGTGATCGTATTAATTCTTTATCATATCTGTGCATTGCGCGTTGTTATAATGTTGATTTTGTCTGGTTTAATTACCCAAGTTTGAGGCTAATTTACTACTGGACGACATTCAGTTAGACTGGGTTTCTTATTTCATGTTAAGCGTTTAAAAGCTAACTCGATATCGTCCTTATACATGGATAAGATTATAATAGTGTCCGTACCTATGTTGATTAGTTTAAAATACCTTTATCATCATTTGCCATTTCTTCATATTTCTCTCCTTCTTTCTTCTTCTGCGACGCGGGATTAGCTGAATGTTTCTACCACTTGTCGTTGATTTTTTCGAGGCGCATCAATTTTCCCTTGATGATTCTTGCCCTTATTTCGTATTGCTGGCATAATACTTCTATTGTCGATTTTTGGTATAACGGAGTTAGATCCAGATTTGTGTTTCAGCGAGTAAGAGTTGAAACGTGGTTCTGTACTTTCTAACAAATAGTGTTATAACCGTTTCCATCGTTTACAATTTCTCAATTTAATTCTGAAGTCTTAATTTCTGGGAAATCCGGAATCTCTTGCAACAGCATTGGAATCCCTGATTTTAGCGTAATGTCATCGATTAGATTGATTGCTACAGTATTGGTTAGAACTACAACGAAGAAAGACGATTATGATACAATAAACTCCAATTATTTCTCGAGAAAATTTAATGCTGTTAACTGCCATATATGGTGCAATCACTTTACCATTCAGTCTTTGTTCTCCATTTTATCTTAATCCTCCTTCTGTCTTCTCTCCATCACTTCTTAGAACAAGTAAAACTTTTCTGCTGAAATGATGAAAATCAAATTTCTAACATCTCACATTTTGCAATTTTTTTTTTGGAATTTAAATAGCTTTTCAATAATTCCGAAAAAAATAAATTATAGGACGTTTCGATACAGGAAATAACTATTTAAGATGGAAGTGATGTTACTGCACACATACACAAAAAAAAAAAAAAAAAAACAAATACACGAAAAAGGAAAAAAACACAAAAAGAAGAAAAAAAAACACATACACAAAAAAGGAAAAAAAAAACAAATCAGAGCCAGCTGTCACCGATCACCAGGTTTATTACACAATCACATTCCAATTACTAATTGCAAAATATCTGGAAACTTTCGAATAATAGATTAATAATTATAATCCTTTTCCAAGGAAGAAGTTACATAACACCAATATGGAAAAGAGTAGAATTAATCCGGAAAAAGAAAAAACAATAATCGGACTAAACTGCTATTAAACAATTCAAATATGTGAAGAATTCTAATACAGAACACGTTAGTGTTGAAAGTCTAATATATGACCCCAACCGCCATCACAGACAAATAAAACTCCAGTGTTTCAGCAAACACTGGTTTTTCACTGAATAACCTAAATAACCGCTTCAGTGATTCCCGCTGTGTGCTAATAACAATCTTCTTTCAAAAAAAAGAAAAAGACAAAACCTTTTTATATCCCATACAACCTTTGAAGTTGTTAAAATGGATTTAAATAAAGCAAGAGACAATAAAATTTTGAAAAATTTCAATTCATTGTAGTTCTTGACTTATCTTCAAGCAAAAAAATTTCAACTATTGTCCTTGATTTAGTTCTCAATTTTGGGCAATTCGTTATTGTACTACTGATTAATTTTACAGTGTCAACAAACTAATACCTGAAAACGACATTCATACAATGTACATTTTTACATGCAATGTCTTGTCAAAAGTAGAAATAACTTAAGCCTAATAACAGAACTAGTTGCCTACTGAGGATTATCAGCCAAAACAGCAAGACTTCTTGACTGGAGGTGGGTCATCAATAATCAGTAAATCATTTCTTCGCGATGCACCATAATGTGAGGAGGAAGTTATATCTATGCCTTGGAACTTCGAATGTTGCGCTCTTTCGACCAAACCTTTAAAAATCCTAGAGAAGTTACAAGCTGGTTACAAATTCTTTTAAATTTATATTAGTTAAAACTATTATTACAAAACCATGAAACTATTAACCAACTTCAGTAATAAATCAACTATAACAAAAATTTTAAATCAAGCAGCCTTTGATCTTTTCATTTTGGGAACTTATTGGTAAAATACTCCGTAGAACGTACTAATGCAGGATAAAAAAAAAATATCATATAGTATAGTACAACATAACAAAAAAACTTGGCACACCCCAAACTAAATCTTTCATGAAAAGGTGGACAAGATAATAATGTCGTTCATTCAGTAAAATTAACAAACACAAATTGTTTTTGTTATACATATACCTTTTACGAGGTAATCAAAAACTTGTGTTACACCGATGTTATCTTTAGCTGAAGTTTCAAAATATTTCGCACCAATCGACTTCGCATATCTAAAAATTTCAGCAAAAAATTTTTCAGTTTTCTACTAAAAATCATGAAGAATCATTGTGTGGAAAAGAAATCAAATTTAGAAAAAAGTCGAACCCGATAGCTTCATCAGTATTAACATTTCGATTTCGTTCTAAATCCATTTTGTTCCCAATAATCATTAAATAAACGTCATCACCTAACATGCGTTTCAGTTCCTTTACCCACATTTTTACCTAAAAACCTGAACAAGTATGAATATATAATCCTTATCAAAATAGTAATAAAAACACTATCAATTTCAGCAGTATGAGACTTATACACTCTCCTAATAACAGCAGAGTAAATAACAATAAGCTAAAAGACGGCTCTAACTGTATATTAGTATTCTAAAAAAGACTTACTGGTCAGCTTTACACTTGCTAATAAAGGTATCGGTAATCCGAGTTACATATTTCAAAGATAATCGGCGTTTCAGAAAAAAAAATAAAAGTTCCAGTTGCGCCCACTCACGTGCCTTTTCAAAGGAATGGCTATCCGTGACATCGTAAATCAAAAGAGCACCATGACTGTCTCTGTAATATATAGGACCAAGTGCATGGAATTTTTCCTGTCCTGCTGTATCCCATATATTCAACACCACTGTTTGACCATCAACACAAAGTTTTTTGCTCAAAAATGAAGCCTAAAAGTTCAAGATAACGAATGAAATAATTTTACAAGTATAACAAAGTCAATCCAATTCATTTTTTGAGATTCCTTTATACTTTCATCAGTCAACTAAATAAAATATGCATACTCGGTGCGTAAAAATACCTGCAATGTTGATACGTGTTGTGGGCTGAATTTGTTTTCCACATAGCGTAACATCAATGAAGTTTTGCCCACAGCACCTTCTCCCAGTAATACGATCTAAAACGAAACTGCTTAGACCTTCCCCGAAACGTATTTCGGAAACTTAACATCTGTTAAGTAAATAGCTTCATTTTCTGCAATATAAACAAAGTGTTGGTTTCATGATTTATAATTTTCTCACTAATACACTCTTGAAGTTAAAAAGTGATTGAGTCATGTTCGTTTGCATTAATTAGTAAAAAATTCATTCTTTTCTATAAAATCCAATCTAAATAACATAAAACCAGAAGAAAGCATCAGTGACCTAATGCCTGCAACACAACCAGGAATTAATTCCAGACACGCTGTGAAATATCACTACTTTCCCCATCAAGCCTCGATCGCCCGCAATCAACAGTCATACTAGGGAAAATCTTGTACTGCAGATCTGTTCCTCTTCTCAAGAAACTCATGTGAGATCGTGACCTGTCCAACTGGCACACCATTTCAGAAGTATACATTGACTGTGCTTCTCTTATACTCCAATGACTTAAAGTTTATTAACTCCAAAACAGATACCTTAAAATTGAACAATGAACTGCTCGTTATCGAAGTACTGGGTACCGTTTCCATTTCAGGAAATAACCCACTTGTTAAGTAAGTAACCAAACTATAACCTGATATAATGCAAAAATGATGTATGATCTTAAAGTAGCACGTGGAAAGAGGCACTTACGAAAGTCCCTAGAAAAGTGCCCCAGTCTGTTCGAGTAAATCTTCGCAAAATTTTTCCATAATATCAACTGATAAAGAAACATCCGTTTCACTGTTTTCACTGTTTGCGTATCAAGTAAAAAATGTAACGATAACAGGAAATACCACAGACCATCAAAACAAGAAATGATACGATATTTTTATAGCCTTCGGCAGTTTTTCAACTTAATGTTTTTTTTTTTTTTCACGATAGAAAATATCTTAAAAAGGTGACATTCTCTGTAAAAGTACTCATCAAATATAAAACTAACAAATTGCTTTAACACCTCATAAATGTTGAAAGAACACATCACTTAGAATAAAACATAAGATTTCCGTCCTTTGCCAATATTAGTTTCCTAATATAAGCAATTTTTCGAATCTTCTCAAATCTAGGAAAAGCATGATATATGATATAAGAGGTGCAAAATAATTTTTAGGACTGAGATCGCAATAAACAACATAAAAATATAAATAGAACAGTTAAACTGACAACTACAACTGTCCACACTGCGTAATAACAATAGGAATTTTCGGTTTGTTATTTTGACCTGTTGGAACGTTTTCGATTTTCCTCACTGTTAATAAACCATCCAATACTCTTCCTGCAAAAAACGTTCCCATTAGAAATACAATGGAGAAAAAATATGGTATAAGACAATTTTGCGCCTGGAAACCAAAAAAGTTAGATATTTCTTGAATAATGAAAAGTGACAGAGAGGAAATAAAAGGTAAAATAACAAACAGTTAAATGAGAGTAAGATGGGAATAACGAAACTCGGAAAAGAATGGTCTGTAAGAAACTACAAAATTGGTTCGAAACAAGCGTTTTACTGTAATTTGATTTGAAACTAACGTCTCGCAAAATAAAAATCAATAAAATTTGGCTAAATAATAGCTAACCAAAAACGACATGCTTCTTATCAAGAAAATCACACTTCGCACAAGTTATGAAAAACTGACAACCATTTGTATCTGGTCCGGCATTCGCCTGCAAAAAAGTTATCAAAATTTTGTTTATAAAAAATCGAAATCATTACTTTACTTCAATAATAAAACAAATCACCATTGACAAAATTCCCGGTCCTGAATGCTCCAAATCAAAATTTTCGTCCCTGAATTTCGATCCATATATACTTGTCATGCCAGTACCATCACCCTGCAAGAAAGAATTTAATAAAGCATGAACAACATAATATGAAGAGTACTGAAAAAACGAAGTTGGAAAAAAAGTTGATCACTTTTTAGTCTTTTAGTCTCATATAAAATCTACTCAATGTAGCAGTAAACTTGGGATTATTAGCAGAAATTTTAACCACATACCATACTGAAATATCAGATCAATTACGATAGATTATACAGCAAGTGACTGACTAAGAAAATGAGAAACTAACATTGACAAAGTCACCTCCCTGAATCATAAAATCTTTGATCACTCTATGAAATTGGGCATTTTTATAACCAACCGGAACACCATCTCTGCGATATTCGCCAGTGCAAAATTGTCTAAATGAGAAGCCGAATTATGACAAATATTCGAAGAACTAAGTTGAAAAAATGCCAATTATAAGGCGTACTCGCTACTCACAATGACCCGACATCATGCATCAGTTTATTCAACAATATAATAGTTTAGTTTCTGCAACATTTCCTTCAAACCTGAAGTTTTCGGCTGTTTTAGGGCAGACATCTGCAAATAATTCCATTTTGATTGTTCCTATGGGTGCACCACCAGCAGTCATTTCCATGAATACTACGGGATTATCAGGATGCCTTAACTGCTCCGCTAAATGGTCGTAATCACTCATATTTCCAGGCTGCAACTACACCACCATTATTATGACACTAAAATATCGCCTCTTATTTGTCATAATATCGAATAAATCTTGTTTGCTGTGATGACAAATTAATATTGCTTCTTTGGCACAATTATATTAATTCATTCCTAATGTATGAGGAGGAATATTATAAGATAAAATTTTCTAAGCCATGCCAAATGTACCTTACTTATACCTAGACAGGCAGCTAACCCAACTTGTCACAACGCCTAATCAAAGATGACAAATGGCTACCACAACAAATAACTGGAACTAAAAAACGATTGAGTTATCTGTTGAATTATCTATAATTGAAATTAAAATCTCAGAACATCACTATGAATGTCCCGCTGTGAAAATTATAATGTCGCGAGCATTGGTTGTTAATTCCTGCGCCCAAATTTTTGAATTTCTGAAAATGTTTTGAATTTAAAAGTTAATCAATGTCAAAATAGAAGTAGATAATAGTGAGCAGTTAACTTGACTGATTAGTTTAATTAATTTTTTGATATTCTAAAGCATAAATCTTACAACTTGTACATCTTGACTTACTCTATGTATTACTTTGCAGTTTCATGCAGAAATGACCGAACAGGTTTTGCCAGTGTGTTATTTATGGATTATAGTTACGATAATCTTCAAAAATTTGCTTCCTATGAAAGACTAACATAACATTAAGCGAACAATGAAGTTAACTCTAATCTACCCAATTGAAATTCTTACAAAGCATTCTCCTTGGTTTGCTGCAATGATTATATTACAATGCTCTATGGAATCAGCCATGATGATCATAATTTAAGAAATTTTGTTCAATCATCTTCTATTTATAGTTATTGGTTGGATCAATCATTTAAAATTGAAATGATTTCAAAATTATTATCATCTAATTGAGAGTCATTGCTTGTTAACCCTTTGATGAAAAGTAGTATGTAGAAAGGAACTGATAAATATGAGAGATATGATGCTTCCTTGCAGAATCACTATAATAATAAGAGCTGTATGAGTGATGACAATAGCAGGAATAGTAATAATAATAACGGAAATAATATTAATAAATAATGATAATAGTAGTAAGAATAGAAAAGAGCATATAACAGTAGTAAGGAATGATGAATACAAGCATAGCAATGATTTAATTAACATAAAATATAAAGCGTAATTTAAATGATAATTTCAAGGTAAGAAATAGTCAGCCATTATTCTGTCATTATTGCTTCTTCCTTCATTGTCTTCCATTGTGTTGCGTAATTTTCATTATGTGGCAATATATATACATTTCCGGTGTCACTCTTACAACCTTTTGTGCATTTTGCCGCTTCGTTTAACGTTTAACTATAACTATTACATCAGTGGTGATCATTTGATTCCAGTTTGAAGGACGTTAAGCGACATTTAACATTTATTTCATCCCGCTCTGGTAGTATGCATTTGAAAATCTTGTTTAGTAATTCCAATGGCGAATAGTCAAGGAAACATTGGCCAAATCACCATTATCGTTATCATCATTATTACTATCATCATCATTATTATCACCATCATCATCATCATTATCATTATCATTGTGGATTTAAATTAATTTGAATGACTGATTTCCGCATTTCTTTTTTATTAAGCTTCATTGCTTAAACTGCATCAGTAATAACTGAAACTGTTTTTATCATAAACTTACTATAATGTTTCTTTAGTACTAGTGAACTTATAATGAAACAATTGTAGAATTAAATAAATAATTTTAAAACTTTCAAGTATTTTAATTGAAAGAAATGGAAATTGTATAGATTGAGTACTGGAATAACTGAAATGTTTTAAAATTTATTCATTTTCATCTCATCTATAATAATATTCTAGATCATCATACAAAAATAAGGTATTGCATATATATTCCTATTTTCATCATTCTAATAGTTTTTGAAAATATTTGTAATGCCTAAATGAAATACAGGGAAGGTATTGCAAAGAACACTGTCGTCTTTTAATAATTTAATAATAATTATTTATCTTTGTATGATGATCCAGAATATTATTATAGCTGATCCGTTTTTCCGCATTTCTCTTAATATCACTTATTCTATGCCACAATTTCTAGCAGCGTAAATAGTAACATAATATTTTCCCTGATTTTCTTTTTCTTCTTGAATTGTTTCATTGCAGGGGAAAGTTTGCATGCGATGAAAAACGGGAAGGGAACGAAATTTTTATGGTCAGCCTTCAGTGTCACCGCCTCCGTTTCTCCGTTTTCTTATAGCATATAATGATTTTCATCCGTTTCACTATTTAACATAAATGATTTTTATAAGGAATTGTTTAAATTAAAGAAAATGGATGCATTGGGGAACTAATGGTTCGGGTACCCGAAGACAAGGATAGGGAAGAATAAGAAATGAGGGTGGCAATTAAAACAAGTTCTGTCTTTCCTTTTACAGCTCGATTGAAATCAACCGATCGCCTAATCACCACTTCTTTGCTCCCCCGCTCCTAACTTGGGCCGCTAACACCCTCCAGCTACTACTACTTCCAAAAATCAGAGCAATCATATAAAGTTATCAATAAAAACACACACACACACACACACACACACACACACACACACACGCACGCATATATATACAATATGTTATTATAATCTAGTAATAATAATAATAACAATAATAATAATAATAATAACAGTAATAACAATGATAATAATAATAATAATAATAATAACAATAACAATAATAACAATGATAATAATAATAATAATAATAATAATAATAATAATAATAATAATAATAATAATAATAATAATATGTATATAATATGTTATATATGATAATGCAGATGTATATATCATATACATGTATATAAATGTACGACCGAATACGTCATTTTATGTCCATTAGAAAGTGGGATTGTCGTAGATTGTCGTATGACCGATAGAATCAGGCATTCAGAGGCGATCATCTCTCTCTCTTCCTGTCTACTCCCGCCTTCTCTTTAATGAATTTTTAATTTTTATTTAAACTGCATAACCATTCTTGGGTGGCTTCTTTTCTCTTAATAATTATAATCCTTATCTTGACAGTGACAGTGCATAATTTATCTCGCACTTTTTATGTTACATTTTGGAAGTTACATAGGTCAAACGTATCCATATGACACCTTGGTAAAACATGTTTATCACTTTTTAGTTTCCCATTATCTTATCTATCAATTTGCCAAACAAACTTGTCTTTTTTAATAATCGTTATGAAAGAAAAAAATTATAATGAGTAAACAACAAATTATCTTTCTTGCTAAAATTTTATATTTTTTAAAATTTAATTTGATAAAATGATAAGCTGAAATTAATTTCTAGTCCTAAAAATTGTGATTATTAAATTAGAATAAAAATATTGCATCTCGGATTTCATGAGATGACACTGTTTAAACAACTTATCCCATTGTTATAAAATTTCTCCACTCATCATATTTTCTCACAAAGTAATATCCCTTTACATTCAACCAATAAAAATTTTTTATGTAATTGCTGAAAAATTTTTTATAAGACAATTATATTATTATTTTATTTGTTGTGCAAATGCTCATTTTATCATTTTTTTTTTCAATTAATATGTATTTTGATTATGAATGTTCATCAAATTAGAAAGAAATTTTATCAAAATTTTCTTTCTATCAAAATTACATACAATTTTCACTCACTTTTGAATGTAATTTCTTTTTGTCATCTTTTCTGGAAAAGAAAAAAACTTTGTATTTCAATTATTTCATCTTTCATGCAAGCAAGAAGTTAAACGAAGTAATAAAAACATATGTGAAGATCTAATCTTTACTTGTGACTAAAATAATGATTTTAACTTCTTGATTCATCTTTATAATATATAAACAACAAACTATATTGTTGATAATAATTAATCACATGGTTAAATTGTTCTCCTCTTATCATCTCATCATTATATCATCCAGTATTATGAAAGTTTAAGAATGATAGTTCAAACAATCTTGTCGATTTCCTAATTAGCTTAAAAAATTCTTTTTAATTATATAATCACATTTAAAATTACAATATGATTTTATTAAAAGTAATGAATGTTCGTTAATAAAATTAAAAAAATATGCTGCATAAAAGAAATAGAAAAAAAAAATGAATAGTTCATCCCATTTGTATAAACGATTCATAAAACAGGATCGGTGCCAATAATGAGATTTCGATTTATGTATGGCATCGAATTGAGGTGTTGTTATTTTGTCGAAGTTACTACATCAGTGCAACATGAAATTTCTTCGGAGAATGTACAAACACATGGAGGGAGATATATCTTTAAGCGAATAAACACGAATTTAAAAAATTCCATAGTTTGACCTCTTTAAAAAACCATCTAATTCATTCATATTTCTTCATTTACTACTCACTGCAGCAATGTTTTTTCATCAATAATTGTTATTCTATCATTTTGAACTTTCATAAAATTTTGTTCAGTCTTTTTTTAAATTCATAAAAATCCGTCCAAGTCGTTTAATTTTCACTTTTTGCCTTTAATTTTAAATGCAAATAATATTTTAATTTTATTTTTTGCTCTAACCGGGCGATTATTTCATTAAAATATAAATCATAATCTAATTTTTGCCAGTTTTAACTATATTAAAATATTAGGTTGAAGTTTGCAAGAAAAATTTGTAGAAAAAAATAATTTCTTTCATTTTTAAAAAATGTAACAATCTAAAATTTTTGAATTTTAATTTTTAAACTTTTGGAATTTTTTCTTGGGTATGGTAACTTTTTTCTAGGATATGTAAACTAAAGTAGGGAAGTACAAACACATTAATGTTCTTAGCAAAATTATAAACTAATCTAAAATGTTTGAAATTACTTTTAAATGTAGCATTTTTTTAGAAGAAGGAAATGAGAAATTAAAAGTTTTACTGAATAAGAATGAAAATTTAGGAAATAATTACCTATGAAAATTGGAGCATTCATCTTACTTTTTCCTTTTTTTTTGTTCGTACCTTATTTT